GGACGCTTCGGCCGCGCTCCGCCTCTTCCGTTGCTTCCTCCTTCGCCTCCACCGCTTCGGATTTGCCGCGTCGATGGGCGGTGTGGGGCGGGAGCTGATTGCCCACGACGCGGAGCCATCGCCGGAGGTGCGGGAGCAGCCGCCGCAGGGAGCGCTCCGTGAGGGAGCCGCAGAGCAGCGGGTGGGCGGGCGGGAGCCCTCGCTCGTCGAGGAGGCGGGCGGCGATGCGCTCCCTGACGGGGGCGCCGGGCGACCTCTCGGGACCCCCTTCGTTTTCTTTTTCTTTTTCTCCCTCTCCCTCCCCGTCGTTGTCGAGCAGGAGCAACTCATGCAGAGAGTGGTATTCCACCGCGGCGTGCTCGTGGCTGTTTTGCCAGAGGAGAAAGAGCCTCGCGGCGCCGTCGGCGAGCTGGTGGAGCACTCGCTGTTGGCGCCTCATCTCGCCCTGCAGCCTCCGCTCCGACTGAAGGAGGTCGAGAAGGGTGTGGTGGTAGAGCGCCGCGGGGCTCACCGAACCTCCCTGATTGGCGTCAATCCGACCTTCTTGGACATCCATAGCGTTCAACTTTCTTATCTTTAAAGGTATGTGTAGGGGTTGTGTGCCGGTTGGGGTTTGGACACGGTAACGAAATCACAAAGAATGGGAATGCATCCACGGGTGGAAAGAAGAGGAGAATGTGTAACAATCGCAGAGGGTGACGAATCTTTTTTCCAGTGAGAAAACAGATCTCGAAAGGGGACCTCTCCCCTTCTTCTCCCTCTCAAACAAAGGAGATAAGACATTGACGCATGATTATGTTATAAATGAAAAATACACATCAAGTACCTAAGGAAAAAATGATACTCAATCGATGCGTACAAGAAGAGAAGAGAAGATGTATTTTCATTGAAGTAGCAACCAAAGCACTTTGCGAAGGAAGTTCCCCGCCCTCTGCCAGGGGTACGCGGCTGCGGTTGATTCTTGAAAACAACTCCATTCCGCTTCTCTGCTCAACTTAGTAGTTGAGCTTCGTGCGGCGCCAGTTGCGGCGCTTCTCGTTCCACTTAATACGGTTGCCAGTGCGCAGACGGATCCAGTACGGTACGGGGCGGTTCTGCTTGATCTTCTTCGCGTACTTCATCTTAATAGCAAGCGGCTTAAAGCGACCCATTTTCGATTGAGTGTTTTTTACTTTGTAAAGAAAGATAAATACGCACCTTTTCCTCGGGATCCTTTGGATAAGATAGTTTTGATGGCCCGATACCATTATCGGCACCCAGAGACGAGAGAGGATGGAAGTAAAGATGAAGAAGCGTGGTGTTAGAACCAGACGGTTACTCCATTGAACAATATCAGAAGAACACGCTCTTATTTATCCTTCTCAAGAGCGGTAATTCCATTTGATGAATATACATACATATATATATATATGTATATATTCTTTCATGAATCCAAAGAAAGTTAAATTTGCATATTCGTGAGGAAAAGGTCAAGGGGAGTTAAACACTTTTAGCTTGTTAACCACTCCAACAGAGAGCGTGCAGCGAAGAGTCTACAATACGGTCAAACAAGTGGATACCAAACAAAACTAGTAGGGGAAGACACACCGATAATCCTTTTCCCCTTTTTTCAACCTATCTATGCGTTAAATAATATCGCAAAAACAAAAAAAGAAGGATAGCACGCGCGAGAAGACATATAGATGCATAGGACTCACGCACCGAGGGGTTACATAGGTTCCCGATTTTTGCGGTGGAGTGTAGTCACGGAAAAACAATACCCCCAAGGGCTACTGTTCTTTGTTTAAAATTAGACCCACCTCTCCCCTCTGCGCTCCTCAGCTACCACTATGCCATCATCCCCTAACGAATCTGTAGTCCAATCCCCCCTCCCCCTCTCTCCTCCTCTTCCTTGCCCCGCAAAAGGGGGAAAAAACGGAATACATTATAAATCACCAACGAAAGCCCAAATCGATGAAAGTTTTGAATGGCAGACCGAGCCGCATTACCCCCCCCCCCCCCCCCTATCCGCCGCCTCCCCTTCTTCCTTCTTTCCAAAGCCCTTTTCTTCTTTCGTTCGCCTCCTCTCTCCGGCCAAGAGGTGGGTCTCTTCATTCGATGACGAAGCGGTCGGTCGTTAAAGTGATCGACTGGCTGTGGGGGACGGGAAGCCCGGTCTCGGTGTTCACCACCTCCTTCACCTGCACCAGCCCCACACTCACCTTCGAGAGAAACGAGATCGTCACGGGAAAGAACACCGACGCCTCCGGGATCTCCGGCATCTCGTGGTCCGGCGCGAGGTGGATCTCGATATTCCCCGACGGGTTGTGTTGACGATCCACCGACTGGAGTTGCCAAATCACCGCATCCCCCGCGACGTCGGCGCCGCCGGCGCTCGGCTCGATGGCGCCCACCACCGCCCCGTACGTCGGGATCGCGAGCGTCAGCTGCTCGATCGTCGGCGCGTTGCCGTCGACGAGTTCGTACTCGATCGTGATCCCGCCGGGCTGCGTCCAGCAGGCGAAGGTGATCGGGGCCTGCACGCGGTTCGCCTGGGCGAGCCGCCAGCGCAGGATGGTGACGGGCTGCTGCGTCGGGAAGGGCCTCCCGCCCGCCATCACGAGGACGTGGTCGCTCGCGAAGAGCTCCTTGTTCAGCTTCGTGTGCGCGCGGAACTG